CAGAGGCTTTATATCTAATAATTGCATGTTCTGTTAAAAATTTGGTTTACGTTCCAGATCAGCTGCGTATGAGAAGCTTTCACATACTTCTTTTTAAAAAGCTCCTAAAATAGTACCTCCAGTATGTCCGTGTTGGTGCGACTCTCGTGTGGCTCGCTGTACTCGGTGTATTTTAGCAGAACTTTATCCATGTCTGTGCTGGCGTACTGGAACAGACGGTTCGTGCTGTTGAAGATGATGAGAGCGATCTCGCAGTCACAGAGCACGCTCAGCTCGTAAGCTTTCTTCATCAGGCCAAATTTACGTTTGGTGAAGGTCACCTGTGACAGAAGAGAAACAGGTTTGCATTTTTAACTCCGTCATGTTAACTCTGCAAAGTTGTGAGCATGACAAATTAAGGAAGTTGGATAATTAAAAATAAAATAAAATAAAATAAAATAAATAATAATAAAATATTAAATTAAATTAAATTAAATTAAATTAAATTAAATTAAATTAAATTAAATTAAATTAAATTAAATTAAATTAAATTAAATTAAATTAAATATCCCAGAGAGACTTTACAGTGCAGAACACGTTCAATCACCAGACACTTCATTCAGATACACAAACCTTATCACCACAACACTTTCAGTCGAAAAGATCAGATATGAGAAATAAATTGTGTTTATCAGCATTCTGAAAACAGTGGATGTGTACACAAACTCACTATGCATATCATGTGTTTTTCCTAACACAGCTAAAACTTTAAATAATATTTAGGGTGTTTCATGGAATTGTAGTATTTGAACAGATATTAATGCACAAATAGGCTATAAATATGATGCAAGCACTTTTGTTCATGCCACAGTATTGTACAAATGATAATATCTGTCTGTGGTATTGCAGAGCGGTGTAACTCCTGTGCCATAAGTTGATGTAAGCACTATGTTGTATATGTAATCGGTGCTGTCATGATTCATTTTGCATCAAACTGATAAGCAGTTCCTCTTCTGTTTAATGGTGTGTTTTCTTGTTAGTTCTTAAACTTTTAATAATATTTCCTCAATCTAGTGTCGACTGTCGGCACGCTCGCATCCTTTTTTTTTTGTTCAGTGTGAAAGATTGTCTTTTTGTCAAATAAAAGAATCTCACTTTAACCGGTGTTAAGGCTTTTGATAAATTCACAGCTTTAGGTTATTGTATCACTTACGTTCAAAATATTTGCTATTGCCACCGTTGGGTAGAAAATAATGAATGCTAGTGATGTTGTAAACTGCACGATTTTAATAATGTTTCACACTAGTATAAATATCATAATTTGATATTTCATTAATAGTCATCCTTGCATGCCTTTGCATTTGCATTTCAATCAGGGAACCTATGTTTTAAATATTTGCAGTGCAATGCTGGACAACAAACAACCACAGCGTCGGCTACATAATATGCACATTTGCATGAAACATGTACCGCTATTTTTGCAACTCAGTGCTTGCAGCTTAAGTGACACTTAATTACGGAGTCTAAAACATATCTGGAAGAGGACAACGTTAAAAATTTGCCTGATACATTTCTTGAGATATCAGCGCGACGTCTTTAAATGTCTTGGATTGATATACAATTTTTATACTAGAGAAAAGTCCCACACGTTCACACTGTAATAATATTTGACACTTAAAAAACAAGAAAATGTATCTGATTGTTCAAATAATCTGGATGAAGTTTTTATTCTTCCTGCAGTTAACTGGATAATATTTACTGAGAAATATATATTTTTTTAAAACAACATATGTGTGTGTGTGTGTGTGTGTAACATGAAACGATGTGTGCTCACCTGTCTATTTCTCTGGTCAAGAATACGAGAAATTTGTATTTTCTTTCTTCCCATTTTCTCTTCTCTTCTTAGTCTGACACCTGTCAAACAAAGTGAAAATCAGTGTTATACTAGAATAAAACAGCATACTTAAACATTTGCAGTGATGTGTGAAAATCAGCACCAATGAAATGACCTAAAACATTAAATGAACCTTTACTCTCGAAGATCACAAAAAAATTTAGCTCGGTACTTAAGCTTGCATTTTTAAGCAGTTGAACTAATTATTAATTACTGTAACGAATTTGAGGTGATATGATCACATATTATAACAAGAATAGAATAAATGTTCAGTCATTAATACAATTCTGATGGGAAAATGTCATCCCTTTACTTTAAGTGACTCAAGTCGTTTCCCCTCAGTAGGGCGAGGGTGTTTATTTTTACCACCATGAAGCGATGCGGTCTAAAGTTAGCGTGGCTCTTGTGGGGCTAGCAGTCCACACAGAATGACACCCTGACAGTCTGGGTTACCCCCGGGCCAACAGCACAGTGCTTGACTGCACCAAGCGGCCCCAAGAGACAGGGTTAAAAATACAGTCCATAGCTCTTTTTAAAGGTTCAGCAGGCAATAGCTGAAACCAAACAGTAGAAGGAAAACGGTGTGTTCTTGAAAGATGGCTAATGCTAAAAGCCACCCACTCTTCTCTCATGCACAGCCAGGTCAGAAAAAAACAAAACAAAACAGGATTTTCAGGGGCAGATAGCAAAGACGTAGCTGTCTTGAGAATATCCATTTTTGAAACTCACACCCGTGGTTTTTCTGTTTTTGTTGGGCTAGAGAACAATGCCCCCCATCCCTGCTGTATAGAAACAAAAACAAAGCTGAAAAACGTGGAACTGAATGTTTTAATTTCACTGACGCTTTAAGAGATGGCTTTGCTGAAAATACAACATTAAATCAAATGCATCCATAAATTTGCTCCCTGTATGAGCTGTCTCCGTTTGATGCTCACTATCAGTAAAACAACTGTGTTAAGTGGTGGTCTGCCTCTTCTGACTGGGCCATACAGTATTTCTCCAAAGCCCAGAGGAGTTTTCACTGGTTTTCCCCCCTAATTCTAGACGTCGTGACTTCTCTATATTTAGTTGCTTGCCCCTCCTGATGGTGCCTGAGCGGATATGAAGCCCGTGTTCCCACGACCCCTAAAGTGCCCGCTGTCCTTCAACGTAAGCTTGGCACACAGAAATTTGGGGCATGTCTGGAAGAGTCCACCTCGTTGCCCTTACGATTACCTTATAAAGTCTTGCGTTATTTGCTTCGTTGAATATGTTGCAGAGCCAAGACAAACCTCAAAAGTAACAGCTGCAGACAAACTCATCCTTGCCAATGTCTGTACGGTAAAACAAAGTGCACAACAGAAAAATAGAACCACAAAACCAGCACTGGTCTGTCTAACTAACAACTCAACTACCACAAAGAATTCACACCAGGCCAAGCTGTTCTGGGTTTTTTTTTGGACCAGAAGTGAGACAATTTCACCTCATATCAAGGCATGTTAATGTAGAGAAGAGAGGGAAGTGGGACATATGTTCTAAAAAAGGCTTAAAGATGTTTATCACAGGGTTTTACCGAAGGTTCCGCTCCTCTCATATATAACCAAATGTCAACTATTAGAGCTGCTGACAGCTCTGTTAAAACCTATGGCTAGCTGGGTATATATAGCTGCCCCTCCAGCAAACCGGCGTGGAGTTAGCTATAGAAAATCTATGTGGTTTGGTAGGTTTGTCAAAGGCCTAAAGGCCGAGATGGGCAGGAAAAGCCTGGCTGTGTCTCACAGCTAAATCTGGATACTTTCCCATTTGACAACTGCCATTTGAGGTCTGCACATTCACAGAAACAAAAAAAACAGAATACACCTACTGCCTGTGACATTTCATCTCCATGGTCAACTGCTGAACATCTCGGGGGAAAGGTGGACATGAAACGGGACAAGCAAATCTTCCTTTTTGTCTCATTTGCCATCAAATGGACATGAATGAAAAACAGAATCACCATCTATCCTGTCATCGTCCAATAGTGCACATGCACACCTTCCCCAGAGCCTCAGGCTTCAAGGGAAGGACAGTGTCTTTGGCAGATACCTTCCCAAAGGTGAGACAGTGGAAAACACTGAGCACAGACACATACAAGGGCAGCAGGAGCTTTGCTTTACCCCGGGATCGTCTGACTAATCACCGGGGAACTACCTGGGACAACAGTGCACATGTACAGAAAACCCTGCGCATCAAGGTCATATTAATTGGTCTTATTAGCACCGCTGATGTTGCTCATTAACAATATGTATCGCGCAACATGTTTTCTTGCTGCAGTGAACTGTATGCATGAATGAGAAGGGGGGGGAAAAGTAGGGCATTTGTAGAGTATTGGGGGTTCTGCTTCAATGGTTTCCTTTCCATGAGTCATTCAGAGCACGGTGGCTTCAAATGTTTCAAAAACATGGTAAACACTTGTAAGCATATTAGCCAGGGAGGTTAATGGTTTCTTCTATGGTGAAAAAGCAGATTGCCCTGCTCTCTACGCAGCACTGAATGTTGAATATGACAAGATATATAATGGTAGTGTTAAAATACTGTTAGTTAAAGATGGTTTGAGAAAAAGGTTTGCTCTGCGAATGCATTAGTTACACAACTATGGTGATCACAAGAGAAGCAACACCTAAAATGTCTACTGTACTATATGGGTATAATGTGCTTTAACTGTTGCAAGCAGTGTGTGAATCAAATCTAACAGGGTTGTTGTTTTCACTGTTTTAGTCGTTTTATCAGCTTGTGAATGTCATATCAAAGGCCAGTGTTATGTGGGCCGATGTCTGTCTTCACCCATTCCCTCTCTGTATATTTTATAACATATACATACATCCTTCTGAACTAAAGTTAAAAAAGGTGACGGCCAAATCTTGAAAAATTTGAAGTCTTAGTGAGAGCCTCACTTATTCAAATCAAAACAGAAGCATACTCATAAAATAAAGGCCCCAGGGGAACACTTTGCTTCTTAGTCTTTATAGTTCTCGACAAAGCTTTGCATAGCTAGCATGGTAACCAAAAGAGATCTTTTTATTATTTTTATCTTGAAGTATACCTAGCTGTATATGTCTCTGTTTGCCACCTTTGGGGTCAAACGGTTCATGTGCTCATCGGGCCTTTGCAGTGCAATAGCGAGGAAATATTTGTCTAATTTTAACTGGGGATAATTGAATTGCCTTGATATTTTTTCATAGAGCCAGAGTAGCAATGTTGCATGCAGGCACGTGCTGAACATTTGATCTTTCCATAAATAGAGAAAAAAGGTTTTTTTTTAGTCTTCCAAAAGGTTAGAAAGTCTGACATCCTCTCAAACTATCTGTGAAGATGAGCCACGCCTCGCACTAAAAGAGGAAAACCTCTTTGAGGGCATTAAAAATGGAAAAAGATACATGTCCAGCACAAAGGAATGTCAGAAGATTAAAGACATCAGAATCAATAATGCTTGCTTTAAATTAGACTAAGGACAACAGGTAAAGGGATGAAAGAGCTATCTATCTGTCTGTCTGTCTAGACATCTATCTATATCTGTTTCTAATAAGAGCAAAGTTAGTCGAGATTCTTCTTAAAAGTTGAAGCAGTCTACTTAGAATGGACCCATGGGAGTCATGGGATGTGCTTGTTTTCAAAGGACTCTGATTCATTTTTCACAGTGAGCAAGCCAAGCAAGAATTAA